ATTTTGTATGGTCAAACCAGGAAAGTCATTGTTTTTGAGTAAATTTTCTGTTATATTAATTGTAGAAGTAGAAGTTGAAGGTTGATTATTTATGTACAGTGGTGCATTTTCTGTCTCCATTTCAGTGAATAGTTCTACTGGTTTTTCAATAGAGTCGACGATTTTATTTGCAACTTCCATTTTATTTTTAATAGAGTCTCCGACGTATCCTTCTGCCACGGTACTGGATTGCCATCCTCCATGGCGCTTTAAGGTTAATATGTCACCTCCTGCATTTACTAAAATTGTTGCCGAAGAACGTCTGAAGCAGTGTCCTGTATATAAATGGGGATTTTCCAATTTTAAAAAAATTGCAATTCTCTTTGCCATACTACCAAATTTGTTGATGCCGACTACTTGTCTAGTACATTTTCCGTTCTGGTAATTCAAGAAGAAACGTTTTTCTGCCAAATCATTCGGTCGAAGAGCGGCATATTTTTTATATATATTATAAAATTCCCCCGTTACAGTGAAAGTTCTTGGCTTCTTTGTTTTGGTGTTATCTAATTTCACCAACAAAGCCGAATTTAGATCCCCTAAATCATCGACTTTTAATTTCCACAGTTCATCTCTACGACATGCCCCTGCTACGCCAATAGCCACTGCAACCTACAAATAAAAATATCAGGATGTAAAATCATTTATATAATTAAAAAAATATATCATCCCTGGCCGGGTATTGAACCCCGGGCCGCTAGTATCCTAAGCGGAAGCACTACCACTACACCACGGAGTAGTTATTTAAATATTTATTCATAGGCATATACTCATCTTCCACAATATGAAATTGACTTTTTGAAGATTATCTAATTATTTTTACCTACTGAATACACCCACTAACTATAAAAAGATGTTAATTCGAGGAAAAAAGCGGAAGAAATTCGAAAAATAGTTCAATTTAAATAATAAACTCACCTTTATTAGTAGATATTCCTTGTTTGGAGCTTCTTTTAAAAATCTCTGCAATTGGTCGGCTGTTAATATGTTTGATTTCTTTGGGAAGTAATTGTCAGACTTTCTTTTCAAAAATGCACGTAATTTTTGATACGTGGATATATCAATGTTATGTTCAATACTGATGGTACTTTTCAACATCGAATATTGTGACCAAAGTGTTGACGCCTTCAAAGTTTTCGACATTTCTTCGAAGTATACCAAAAGTACACTTTCCGAAAACGATTTTATTTTCGTATTTCTTCTCCATTCCATGAATTTCCCATATGCCAATTCATACTTCTTTCGGGAAATTTCCGGCAACAAATCTAATGTTACTTTTGCCGCTTGTTCCAATATTTCTGGTGGAGTATTGTCAAAATCGTCACTGCTTTCATAAGTTTCCATATTATTTACCTATCACTGGTACAAATATGTATATTATGTCTTACTAATATTCAATGAAATTGCGATTTTTTATCGAAACACGATTGATAACTACCTCAAAAATTGAAATAAATTCTGTTGACAGTTGTTCGTGACAACAGCGGCCAACTAAGTTTTTGTCGATTTTAGTTGATTCTCCATATAAAAGGTACCTACTATGCGTGGTGTTGGCAAAGTGCTGTGAGAAATAATATTTCTCACAGGTATGAGCAATTCGTGGTTTTGAAATTGAGTAAGCCATGAGAATTACGCTACTTTTCATAGCAGTCGTAGAAAAAAATACTTTCTCCCTGTTTTTTTATAGCCTTTTCATGGACACAACAAAGCGTTCTGTGCACATTGAAATGAACCATTTCTGGTGGGTATATTATAGAAGAAAGAAGAAAATTAGGAAGGAGCTTTCCCTGCTGGGGAATCGAACCTACCTCTCTTGTGGTTGAATTTTTACAATCTTTACACCTTGTCCACTGCGCTATAGGAACCTTATTGATGACTTATATGAATTGAAATATGTCAACATCGAGGTCCACATGCACTTCATTATTGTTGGCAATATACAATGAATTTTTACGAAAGTAATAGGTAATTAGAATTCATCAAGAAAAGTGAAAAATAACTGTAACGATATTCGGGATATGTAGCCTTGACCCCAATTTCATTAATGAATAGGTACCACGCGAGGAACCACGCTTCAAATTTCTCCATCCATTATAAATTACGATTACATAACAGCGACATTCTGCACTGGTGGGTGAAAGAACTGGTTGTTATTTTTAATTCAATTCCTTGTTGGAATGATTCGTAAATTAATGTTTTTCAATCAACACGAATGTTAATCGACATGAAGTTTACCACATAATGAAAATAAAAGTGAATTGATCAGGAAACATAATATAACATCATTGGCATCAATTACAAACTTCGTTATGCACTTCATAAATCGCTTCATCTCAATGTTTTTGAGCTTGCACATTTTACAGGCATAATTCACCCCAAGTTGCCCATAAGCATGGATCAAACCTGGCATTTTTTCACTGACTGTTGCGAAGTGAGCCTAGGTACTGTTGTTGTTGACAATATTGATTTGTAATTTCTGTTTGACGATTTCAAGCCAGCCTATAATCATTTATAATGATAATTGTGTTTTTTATTATACTTCTTTGAAATCACCTTATCTTCATCTATATTATTAATATTTGGTAATTTTGTAACATGAGCTTTTTTGGGCTAACGCATAGAAACAGCACAGCGCACTTTGAGAAAAACCATGGAAACGAATCATACATGCCAAACACTGTATTGTCAGCATTGTTCATTCTCTGACAATCTAATTTATGCTGACAAAATGAACTCAGAAGAAGATCCCGAAATTCCCGATTATATCCTAGAACAAGCGGCACAAGCGACCGCGAATTTTTCACCAGTAAAATCCAGGTCTACACCTTTTCCAGATGTATTTCAGAAAGCGTCAATTCAATTTCAGAAAGCGTCAATTTAATTCCAGAAAGCATAAATTGTATTTCAGAATAGTCACTTGTATTTCAGGACGCATCAATTGTATTTCAGAATATAGTCAATTGTATTTTAGAATAGTCAATTTAATTTAAGAAAGCGTCAATTGTATTTCAGAAATTGTCATTTGAATGTCAATTTCGAAAGCACAGAATCTCAGAAACCTATTTTGTGTTCGTTCTAAAGTATAGTAATAATAATAATAATAATAATGTCGCTTTTATTGACATAACCATGATACAAATGAACATATGATGAATATAAATCTTTTGAAGGTTTGTCAAAAGGCAGAGTTCGAAATTCTGTTTGAAATCAGATTTTGTTCTTCCACTCAACCATGTAGCTTAATCTATTCTGAATACGAATCAGTAATTTGAATGCTAGTCATTTCAAACAGAACAGAATGAAGGGAATATATACAATAAATACAAAAATATCAAATTCAACAAAATGACTAAAACTAACAAAAAATAATATGGCAAAATAGATTTAGTCATTTCGTCATCTCGCCCAATGAAACAGCTAATACAAAGAAAACATTTATCAAATAACTAGACAGATATTTGTTCGTTTGGTCTTGCTTTAACTTTTTCTTGAAGCTTGTTGAGTTCAATTTTCTATAAGCACAGGGAATCCTATTCATTAGCCAAGCAACGAAATCGTTAAAAGATCCACGAAAGAGACTAGTTCTATGAATATGAGGTGTGAGCATTGTTTTATGCCGAACATAAATATTATGAACGTCCGTACGAAAAGTGATTTTATTATGAAGATAAGGAGGGCATTTGATTTGCAAAAATGTTTGAACTAGAGCCATCGTAAAGCTACCAACGAATGAGTCACGTGGTCATTTTTCCAGAGGCCGCATATCAAATGCACACAGGTATTTTGGAGTCTTGGGGGCCTATTCTCGAATGTCGAACGAAATATGTCGTATGCGACATTTATGTCGATAGAAATTGTCGCACAACGTTTAAGTGTTTTATTCTCGACTGCTTTCGACTTTAAACTCGTATGAGACAAATTTTGTCGAATAGCATGAACTGGCATTACTGGCAACATCGGATTAACGATTCTCGAATGTGTTCTGTGCCAATGTGGTGTGGTTTCTTTGTTGTTATTATGGAGATGAGAGAAAAATAGAATGAGCCACTTTTATCTGGCAAAATACATGCAGAAGACCCATGTCCCTGTATCACAAATGGTTCTAGCACTCAGCACTATAGAAGTGCAATGGACTCTCACTTATTCCTTACCTAATTAATGTTCTTATATATTTTATGTCCGATAAAAATCTAAACGCATTCCTATATTCGTTCTCTCGTGGCCGTTGATGATTTTCTTGATTTTCCAAATATTCAATTTCTATTAATGAAGCTGCCTTTCTCAAAAAAACAAGTGAAGAAATCAGTCAAATATTCAATCTCGCATTCGACATCAAAATGTCGACTGCTTAAGACCACTCTACAATTTGTCTATCGAAAATTTTCGAATGCGTCATTCGAGAATGAGCTCTCACGTTTTTTGTTCGACAATGTACAAATCTCGCATGCCACAAAATATCTCACCATTTGAGAATAGGGTCCGGTCTGATTTCAGCAGGCAAGGGCCATACACAGCATCCGCATAGTTTGTTGTGAATTGTGGATTCAATACAAATGTGACCAGATTATAGAAGCATAATCTAGATGAGAGACTACCAATGGCATATTCATCTTCCCGAGTAACTGTAATGACGATTTTGAAGAATGTCCATACATTTTCGAATCATCGGTGAACCATAGATATTTACTGTGAGTGAAGCAACTACTTAGATCATTGACAAATAAACTGAATAATAATGTTGCACAATGTGAACCTTACGGAACACCTGATGACACATCAATATCATTCGATAGATAAGATCCTACTATAACCCTCTGTTTGTGACCTTTCATTCAACATTTTTTGCGAAGTGATTCATCAGAACCCGCATTTTTTGCATAAATTAAAGATTTTGCATCAATTGAGGAGTGGAAATAACTACTTAGTGACATGGCACGAATACTTACAGGTATTTTTTGTTGCAGGAAATGGAATGATAACTACTGCGATTTCACAAAAACAACCTGTTGTCGGTAAGTTCTCGGATAAGTCTGAGTGTGTATAGGCTGTCTCATTTTCTATGTCCCTCTAACTTATTCTTGAAGATAGAGATTTGCGGTTATCGCGAACGTTGGCTACCTTTTTTGTGAAACTTACGATTCCGCGAACAAAATCTACAAAGCCCGCTTCGTTTTTGAGATGCAGGGCGAAATTGAAAATGTTGCACTTTGGGACCCCCCTGTATTTCAGCTATCTTTCAATATCCATATTTGAATTATTGATGCTCTTCGCTTCCCAAAAATATATAACAATTATACGATATCCTGAGTATTTGCCTTGAATTTAGATAATTTAGAATTTATATACATATACCGGGTGTCCCAGTATACCTGTTGCAATGAATTATCTCAGCCATTTCGAAAAATAAAAATTCGAAAATTTCATGATCTCCAAATCGTTCAAGGAAGCTTCAACTGAGAAAAACAAAAATTGAAAGTCACTTCCGGTTTCTCTAATTTTTTATTTCGAATAGCACCCTGTATATTTTTTGAAATTTTTGATTTCTACTCAAAGTTACCGTTCCAACGAATTATCACACTTCGTATTTTAAATTTGATTTGATGGAGGAAATGACAATTGAAATGTCAAATTGAACGAATTGCAGTAGGCTACGATATTAGTGTGATCTTGATATTATTATTGACTTTAATAATAATTTCGAATTATTAGAATTGTAGTAGATTTGAGATAATCTATTGGAACAGGTATACTGGGACACCCGGTATATATAACTATTTCCGTTTACGAGATACAGTGCGATTTAGAAAATTCATACTTTTTGTATACCCTCCCATCTACAAATCGAAATCATATCCCATAGAGAATTTTTCGCCGAATCCAGTGGCGCACTCAATTTTTATTCGGGGTATGGTTTTGGAGATACGACTCAAACAAATCAGATCAGAATCTGAATCTTGATCCACCCTGTATCTGTGATTAAATATCAGTAAATAAATGATAAAAAGTTTAAATAGGGACATGTGAGCCGTTTTAATCGATAATGAATAGTTTCGACACAATAAAATCGAAAGTTGAAAACTCTCGATTTTGAACACCCTATATCTCTGTAATCATTCTTGATAGACCCCAAGTGTGATACATCGATGGAATCAGCTCTTCAGGGAGAAACTAAAGATGCGATGAAATATAGGGGATTCCATTCGAAATATCAATGTTGCTACATTTTTCTAGTAGAAGCGGCAACACTGCATTGTCGAAAATATTTTGGATGAAGAGAGCGTATTCTGATTGGCTGATTCCCGATATAAAGATAGTGTAAGCTCGTCATGACATACCCTGTATAGTCTTCTAATTTTGAAGCATCTGCTTTAGGCATACGAATTCGTCGAACCTGGAAAACCTTTTCTTGGCGGAATGCTCCGAATGGCAGTGCTGTAATTGCGATTCCCCCGAACTTTTTCTTTTTATATCTTCCGTAAAAACGGATCCATATCTATATGGATGTCCATCACGAGAAAGGGAGGAATTCTGAAAATGCACTTTTCTTGATTAATATCTCCTCTTCTTATTCCACGTCATCGGGTTTTCAGAGGAAAAGAATATAGCCTAGGAAAATATCCAGATTATGTCAGCAAAGTGGAAATTTCATTAGTTACAGGGTAAATTCAAAATAAATTACACACCTTGTATCGTTTTTATCACCTGTACCTATAGAAAAAAATTGTTTGAAAGACAATTTTGTGATAATAACGGAATTTAATGATATTATGCTATCGAACGAACAGTAGCGTTGAAATTTCAGAACATCAAAAAATAATGTATTTCTCGAACATGGTTTTTGAGTTATCAAAGAACGACTCTCTAAATCACTGTGTGGTGTCTCACCCCCTCGCTCACTAATATAACTTTTTTATTATTGAAGGTAGTGAAACGAAATTCAGGGGTTGTGAATGACAGTTCCATTGACATTCTATAACATATCATCTTGCTTTGGCGACTTGGCATACTTCCGGTTTCACCGGAAATTTCCCCAATAACTTTAGATTTTTGAATTGGACACCCTGTATTTTATACCATCATCTTTCTCTGTCACACTCATTGAGCATATTAAACCTTGGAAAATCACCTGATGGTAATCGGTATATACCCACCAAGATACACATTATATACTAAATGCTGGATTACATGTATCTTATTTTAGAATACAACACCTTATACAATACATTGTATTCTAAGCTCAGATTAGGATATGAACAACTTTTTTTTTTATCTCTTGGAGCGCAGGAAAAGGAATCTCTATGAGCTTCGAAGAACATCTGGCGTATTTAGGAAAGATAAGGAGAGGAGATAGGTAGGTATCGGATATTTTTTGTCAATTATAAAAACATAATATCTCTATTGTTTGAATATCAACAAGTATCACAAGAAATATGAGGAATTTCGAGAAATTGCGAGGAATTGCCGAGGAATTGAAAGGAATTACGAGGAATTATGAGGAATTACAAGAATTATGAGGAATTGTGATGCATTACGAGGAACTATCATGTATTACTAGTCAATATATTGAATTATGAGACATTATTTTGGCATTGAGGAATTGGTGTACACAATTTAACTCAGCGAAATGCCCCTCGGATGAGGTCAAAAGGGTGCCTGATGACTGTGGCATCACCCACCAGGTGAACCCCAAACATGAGAACAGTATTCTAGAACTAGCCGTATCTGTGCTTTGTAGATGCATTTCTCATTTTTCCTGCTCTTTTTGAGATCGTGCACAAATTGTAATTGTCGGAATGTATCACTTTGTGCTCTGAATAAACAAATAACTATCTAACCAAACTTTTTTCAACATTTTTAGAATCAATCTAACTTATATATCCTTGTGAAAATGCTGAATTTCGTATAGTCGATCGACAGCAAATAATCGGAAACGTAATTTTCCGTTATTTTCTTAACAAAAACTATATATTCATGAAATGAATTCGGGAAACATGGGGAAACTAAATCATAAAAAATATCATACTTATTAAAAATATGCTGATCCTCAACTGAGTTCATGGATAGAAATTGATAGAATGATTAGTTTTTCAAGGTGAATTTCTAATTTTCTTACTTCGTATATAGGTAATCGAATAGAGAGTCAATTTTCGTTCGTCGGTTCAGGCTATAGATATATTATCGATGAGAATTTATTACGAATATAGCATTTTCTCATCAGAATGCTAATCTTGTTTGAAGGCCATCAGACAGTTTTTGATTAAGAATATTAGTTTATAGGGAGTGACCAGTGGCGTACTAATTCAAGTTCTGATTCCTTGTTGTTGGGTCAAAAACATGTGGCGTAGGTGGTAATTTGAAATATCTTCACACCCTGTATAATTTAAATCCAATAACTGTTTTATCCAAATTTGTTGTTATAGCTCTTTTATGAAAAGAGTTATTGAAGGGGGATGGTTCAAATAATAAATGAAGACAATAATAGCAAAACAAGGAAGAAGACTAAAATTAGGAGCGAAAAAGGCTCATGGTCTTTTAGGACCTAGGACGCCAGTAGCACCACATTATCACTTGTTAATCTGTGACATTATACTCTGTGTTCTGTACGGTACAGTATGTCCAGCATTTGATGCTTCTGCTCGATATCTCAGTTATCTATGGAGACAGAGTGTTGCGAATTACACATTACCTTCTCACTTTTTTTCGAGCTTTTTTTTAAACGAATAATGCCGCAAACAAAATTTTCCGAGGAATTTTCATAGTCCTTCATGTTTTTGAGATATACAGGGCGAAGTTGAAAATTCTCACTTTTTGGACAACCCAGTATCTTGGTTACTCTTCAACTTATCGGTAGGATGTGAACGGGGCCTTATATAACTTTCTACGTATAATGCAGTGGCGTAGTCATTTCATTTCTGTGATCACTCATTTTAGAAACCCAGTGACTATAGGCATCAGTGGCGGCTTGTGTTCGTTTCAATAGGGGAGGCTGAATGGGAAGTGTGAATGTAAAATTCTACGAAAAGAACTGACGACACTTATAAGGTTCTTGTTTAAAGAAAATCCGGAAGAGGCGCTGATATCGTCATATTTTAATGGCCATCGAACGAAATAACAACAATCACTTATACTTACTACAAAACCTCAGACAAAACAAACAAAATTTCGAACGATTTATGAAACATATAGGTTTAACTAATTAGTCTAGTGGGAGTCGAATCATTTTGCAAATATCGAACGAATGAAATATTGAAACGTCAAACTTCTTCTCATCCGTCAATTTGCGCGACTATATGAAGGTGGCGCTGCCGAGACTGCCGAGATCTCGCCGCTGAACGTCTGCCAGAGGCCTATAAATACTGTGGCATGTGAAATTTGAATGAAATCTCAACAACTAGTGTTCTATACCAATCTAAAATGATGGATAAATGGTGACTCCTCATTAGCACCTAAACACATAGTATAGTGTCAATTTTAACAATGGAGGAGCAATTTGACATCCAGGTAGAGTGAATAATTTAGTCAATTTCCGGTGGAATCGACACTGTTTATAGTATGTATTCTACTTCCTACTATTCCCTTCCAACTCTCAACTTTTGTGACTATGTAATATTCGGTTATTGAATTTCACTCTAAAGTGATGACATTGATGACACTAGCTTGGGTCTAGAGTGGAATGTTCACTTTCGAGATTGTTTATTTTAACTCTTTTGTTATGTTTATTAAATATATTTAAAGAAATGAATAGAGTAAGTTTGAATATGCTTGCATTGAAAATTTACACTAATTGAATTGAAAAAAATCACACTATAATATACTAAACTATAGAGTTAAATCATTTACTCTAAGGCTTAGTGGTCCTCCTGGGAACAGGTATAATGTTAAATTTCACTCTATTTTTTTACTGTGTATAAATATCTCAGTCACACGTGCTCCCTCTCGAATTTCATTGGTCTGAGGCTGTTCTCCGTTGGATGTTTTCAAGTCGCAAATGTGTTTTTCACTCTGAATACTT